TAATCTTGGTATTATGAGCCATAAGATTAATTTTTTTTTTTTTAGTTCTATGACTTTAATTTGTTTTTTAGAGTTGGATCTCTTTTTTTAAATCGAAGTATAGTTGATTCACAATGCTGTGTTTGTTTCAGGTGCCAGCACAATGATTCAGTTATGTATACATATATATCCATTTTTGCAGATTCTTTTCCATTATAGGCTATTACAAAATATTGAATATATTTCCCTGTGCTATATGGTAGGTCCTTGTTGTTTATCTATTTTATATATAGTAGTGTCTATCTGTTAATCATGAACTCCTAATTTGTCCCCCCCATTTTCCCCTTTGGTAACAATACGTTTGCTTTCTATGTCTGTGAATCTGTAAGAAGATTAATTTTTAAAAGAACTTTTTGTTTGAGGTAGATTCACAGAAAGTACAGAGAGGTCCTGGATACCCTTTATGCAGTGGACCCAATTATTTTATCTTATTATTGTACAACCTCAAAGGCAGCAGCTTGATACTCATGTGATGTGTGATGTATGATGCTTACTTGTCAGTGACATAGAGGAGATCTGTAACTCACTGGACTCCAACTGCTGGCGGCAGCACACTGGGTACCAAGGTGGAGCCTGAAATGAGTACTGAGGCGCTGGGTGTAAGAAAAGGAGAAATGAGCAGCAAATGAAATTACTTTGCCTCAAGGGTGCCTTTCCCATTCAGTACAAAGCTGTAGCTACACTTCTGCTTTTTCCTCTTGCTTGAGTTTGGTGCCCAAGAAAGCTGGTCATGTTGCATGTCTTTGAAGACCTCAATTCTTTGCACTTTCAGTAGGAACAGAGAGGGTTAAATGAGTGATTTGTATTCATTTTTAAAGAGAGCATGATTCTAGTTCGTACTTTTCTACTAAGGAAACCAGTTTGTCCCTTGTACAGCATAATGTATTTGGTGCTGCAAATGGTGAAACTTCTTAGGGTGTGAATGTGCTTGTAGCATAGGATGCCTGCACCAGGATCCTTCCACCTGGAGCCCTGTGTCACAGACAATATAGTCTGTGTCTTGGTTGTTGGTTAGATCCATTCTTCCCAAGTCCTATCACTATGAGTAATTATCGGGTATAGCACAACATCAGTTCTTCGGATGTTTAGTTCCAGTCTTGATGGGTACCAGAATATTTGTGATTCTTTCTCATGAGGGAAGGGATTCAGGAAAATGTTGTCTTCTGGGGAGATTCTGGTTTCTCCATCCTCACTCTCAGTAGATAATCTCCCTTTCTACTTTGTAAAGAAAACACATGTCATCAGATAGGAATTTCTTTAAATTTCTCTGCCACATTTACATATCTACCTTGTCTGCACCCATCTCATGCTTATCCTTTTCTTTTACAGAAAAGATATAATTCTTCATATCTAAGACCAAAACATTGATCTCTTCACGGGCTTCTCCTTTCTCCTGCTTTCTCGAAAACCTTACAGTCTCCCAAACACCACGCTGGAAATCTCAAAATCTCAAAAGATAAACTGAAGCATATTAAAAAACTTGAGTTTATTTGAGCAGAAATCGATTGGAATTGGCAGTGCCAAACTGGAAGTGGTTGGAGAGTCCCCTCAGACAAGAGGTGGAGAGACTTTATAGAGAAAAGGTGGAAGCAAAGAAAGGAAGTCATAGATTGACTGTAGCTTAAAGCCTAGGTGACTGTTTCTGATTGGTTGTCCTTAGCATTTTGATTTCATAACCGTGAGGCATTCACAGGCTTAGATCCTGGTTTGTTTACGTAGGGCACCCACGGCATGAGAGCCCCATCAGCCCAATGGCCTCCTTACTTAATTAACTTAAACCATGGGTCACTTGACAAATGGCTGTGCCTCCTCAGGGTAGTCTGAATGTTATTTCAATTTCTTGCAGGAGATGCTGTACAATAACTGAGGCTAATGTGATGAGACTCCGGTATCAGAACCAGCCTGGGGACAAAATTCAATGCGTTTATTCATTAATACATACATTCATTCAACAAACCTTGAAAGCATGCTGAATTAGGTGCTGTGCCCCCAGTGACTTCACAGTCTGTTTCCGGTGATGGGCAGAAAGCAGATAATTATAGTATACTGTGTTAAGTAAAGTGATAGAGTTATACACAGGGTATTATGGGAGAGAAGGGGCTCTAACCCAGCACGGGGAGAGGCGATCAAGAAAAGGTCCCTGGTGGAGGCTGAACCCAGATAAAGGAGTCCAGGATGTTCTCTAGAACATTCAGGTGGAGGTGTCCCGAAGGTGGATTTGAGTCTGAATCTCCAGCTTGAGGGATGGCCAGAGATAAAGGTTTAGGAGTGTTTAGCGTGGAGATGACAGTTAACACCATGAGAGTTGATGAGCTCACTTATCAAGAGCATTGGGCTCAGGATGCGAAGGGCCGACATTTCAAGATCAGAAAAGAAAGGACCGTTAACGCAACAAGTCAGAAAGATAAGAGTACCAGGAGAACAGAAGATGTGACAGTGTTTACAGACTGAATGAAGGGCAGGAGACTAATCAGAGAGATGGAAAATCCAGGAATTGTCAGGGATGACTGGTAATGTAGGAGGCAGGAAGGGAGAATTTATTTCAAATGTAAACTAATGTAACTGCTTGTTTGGTAAATAATTGCCAAAAAGTTGGTTTCAAGGCTGTTGAAAGGAGGCCCAAACAAATTAGTTGATTTTCCACATTTGTCAAAGCTAGCACTTTTTATTCAGTCTAATACATGTCATTTGAGAACTTTTTTGGTATCAGGCGGTCTGTTAGGTTGGCAACTCAAGGGATAAACTATGAAGGATAAAAACAACGGTGTAACATGGACCTGGCTCTCCAAGAACTTGCAGCAAGATAAGCCATGTACCTAAATATTCAGGATACAGGGTGAAAAGTGACAAAGAAAGGAGGACTAAAGTGCATGGAGGCATAGAGATTACTTTTAGATTGGGGATCCAGAGAAGCAGTAATATTTGAGCCAAGTCTTGGAAGATGGGCAGAGGTGGAAGTGTGTGTAAGTCAAGTATAGGGGAGAGTGAGAGAAGCGGCACAGTGCATGAAACTCCAGGGCACTGTCAGCCGTGCAGTATTGCACTGGACTGTGTCTGCTCCCTCTCTAGACTGAACTTCTGATGCTGAGGCCTGTAATTAACCTTTACAGAGCCTCAGGTGGTGTTTTACATGTAGTACTCACTTGGTGTTTGCTATATGAACTTAACTTGAGGAACAGACATCATCGTTGTTAAATTGCTTATTCCACAGCCTTACCTGTGCTTTACCTCAGCTGTAAAGCAAAAAGTAATTTAAAGACTAGAATTCTTTTTTTTAATATTTATTTTATTTTTATTTATTTATTTATTGGGTTGTGTCGGGTCTTAGTTGCGGCATCGTTTTGTTGTCATGCGCGGGCTCCAGAGCACGCAGGCTCAGTAGTTGTGTGCATGGGCTTACTTGCCCTGTGGCATGTGGGATCTTAGCTCCCCGAGCAGGGATTGAACCTGCGTCCCCTGCATTGGAAGGCGGATTCTTAACCACTGGACCACCAGGGAAGTCCCATGACTAGAATTCTTATGTTATCAGTAAAACAGGTATTAAAGGTAGATTGCCTTCTTGACTTGATTTTCGAGGGTGACAAATCAGAACTTATAAATGAATCAAAGACATGTAACTTATAACATTCCTTTATATGACATGAAAACACTTTAAGATAGAAGTGACAAATGTGGAGATTCTTAAAGACTGATCAACACAAGTTCTTTGGGATCTACTTTAAATGACAACACTGAAGCCAAGTTTTAGACAATTATTTTGTCGGCATATAAGTAGTTATATTTGTCTTATACTTTGAAATGAACTGTATCCTTCTTTTAGGATTACAAAATAGTTTGCTGGTGTACAGTTTATTTGTTTACTAAAATTTTATTTATTTTTTATTGAGGTATAGTTGATTTATACTATCATGTTAGTTTAGGTGATATACAGTTACTTTAGGTTAAACAAATATGACTTTAAAAAAAGCCAATATCTTGTAGCTGCAGCTGTGTATTTGCTTTGATAAACTTAGGGAATCAGAATTGGAATACACATTTCATTGGTGGAATTTCTTAGCTATCTTGAAGTGGTTCTATTTAATGTGTTACCTATGATTAGGAACAGAGAAATAGAAATATGAGGAGCTGGAAAAAAAGATATTCTAGGCCACACGTTTTCTTGTTGATGCTGGAAAAGGAAATAATTAACAGTATCTGTTAAAATAGGGTAGAGTGGGCTTCCCTGGTGGCGCCGTGGTTGAGAGTCCGCCTACCGATGCAGGGGACGCGGGTTTGTGCCCCGGTCCGGGAGGATCCCACGTGCCACGGAGCGGCTGGGCCCGTGAGCCATGGCCGCTGAGCCTGCGCGTCCGGAGCCTGTGCTCCGCAACGGGAGGGGCCACGACAGTGAGAGGCCCGCGTACCGCAAAAAAAAAGAAAAAAAAAAAATTGGGTAGAGTGTACTGATTTAAGGGTTACAGTAGAAAATACTTCAAGGAATTGGGAAGATAAAGGGTGTTGATCCGTGATGATTTTGCATTCTTGACTATTTTATATATTCTTCATTGGTTTGCTTTGATAGGGATAGAGAAACCGAATTTGAAGTCATTTCCTGTTAGTTTGACATGTGTTATCCTTGCTTGATAAATTCCTAAATTATCTAATTTAGTCTTGTTCTCATTTCACAAATGAGGGAAGTCAGGTTAAGCGGTTTGTTTCGGTGACCTGCAGTGAATTAAAGAGACAGGTCACCTGTTTATGTTAGTGGATTGTTAAGAAAAACTCATGAAATTCACAGACTGCATGTGGCAGATAACTGAAAATAAACTTCTACAAAGTTAAAATAAATGGTTTTGTTCGTTAAATAATTATAAATGTAATTAAAAATGTTTTCTAAATGTTTTTGTGAGGTAAGTAAGCAAGCAAAGTAATTAAATAAGAGCTCATATATTTTCTTGTCTTTTTTTTTTTCTTCCCAATAGGACCAGACATATTATCAGTCATTTCAGGTTTCAGAATATGGTAAGAGTTCTTCAACTTATTTTGATGGAAAACACATTTGTTACTTTCCAGAGAGATAAGAGAAATTTCTAAGAGATGTATTATTTAAAGTAAAAATCCCAATGGATTTTTACCAGGTAAAATCCTAGTATTTCCTATAGGTCTGAACATTTTTTCTTTATAAAGAGTAAAGTAGGAATAAGATTGGCTGTAGTTCCATTATCCTGCTCTTTGTATGTATAGTTATTCTGTTTTTCTACTTTGTTGTGATCATAACATATTTAAAATTTTGTACGGTGTTGTTTTTTAAAGCATAACCACAGTCATTTCCCATATCTTTCACTTGGTCAACACTGGTGAAGACAGGGTTTAACTTGGGTAAATCCTGCAGGTGCCACATTTGTAATATCGCATTTGGAAACACGTAGATGTAAGCAATGTGCGACCCAAGTGTTTTGTTGGTGGATGGAGAGGAAGGAAATCGGAGAGTGAAGGCATAGGACCCCACAATTAGTTGTACTTTGAACAGCTGTTTTGAGGTTGCACACAAGCGTTTTCATCTGAGTTGTGTTACTTTTTGAGATTGTGTCTCATTCAGGCAATAGAAATTCTGGAAAGTCGTTTGCTTGCACCTTTTTGGCTCTGGTCCATGAATCTCATACAGCACTGTCACAGCTCAGCGTCATGATCACCTAGGACAGGGAGCAGCAAAGCTTTTTCCTGTTAATTGCCAGATAGTAAAACTTTATGCTCTGTGGGCCACACGGCTCTGTCTTAACTACTCAACTTTGCTGTTGTAGCACGAAGCAGCCATAGACAATATGTAAGTGAAAGTGGTTGTGATCCAATGCAGTTTTATTTATGGACGTGGAAATTTGGATTTCATAGAATTTTCCCATGTCGTGAAATAGTCTTCTTTTGATTGTTTCCAACCAATTGGAAATGCAAAACCCATTCTTAGCGCATGCTGGTCATTGTTTACTGACCCCCCCATCTGGAACTGTGCTGTCCGGTTCAGGGGTCACTCACCACGTTGGCTGCTGAACACTTGAACTGTGGCTGGTCTAAATGGAGGTGTGCTCTAAGCAGGTAGAATGCCAAATTTTGAAGACGGTATAAAAAAAGAAAGAAAAATAGCTCATTAATAATAATTATTTATATTGATTCCATGTTGAAATGATAATATTTTGGATATATGGCTTTAGGTAAAATATTACAAAAATTAATTTCACCTGCTTCTTTTTCCTTTTTAAATGTGGCTACTAGAAATTTAAAACTACACCATGTGGTGCACATTTTGTTTCTTTTGGACAGCCCCGATCTAGAGGAATAAATCAGAGGTGGCTGAGGCTTTTAAAGGCTGTTTTTATTTCACATAGAGGCGGTGCTGGGTGGCTGTATGTTGTTGAAGGGGGTATGTAGTGGAGGGGCAATTGATTGCCAACCTGTGATGTTTGAGGAGGGGACATTTTAATTTCCTTGGGCTAAGAAAATTCCACCTCTGAGTGGCCAGGACCTTGGAGGAGGGTCAGAGTCCTGGAGTGGTCTCGGGCCTCAGAGCATCTTGGTACTCCAAGGGTCTTTAGCCTGGAGCTGGAGGTCTGTCCTGTTCTGCTGACTTATTGGTCGTCCTGATTCTTCTCTTGCATTAATTGAGTGGTGAGATGCCTTGTTATGAGATGGATCTATTTCATTGGTCAGTGAAGTTAGAGAAGAGGAATATTTCTATAGATTGGAAGGAAATGAAATTTTTTTTACTCCAGTGAGGTGCTTTATATTAAATAATATTACTATTTATAAAATATTTCATAGCCTAATTATATAAAGCCAACCAAAGTCGGGGTTTCTAATTTTAGGGTTACCTTCAGGAACCAGTACCTGTTGCCCAAGAAAAGCATCATTACTTTGTAGCCATATCCTAGTTATTAACTAGAAATCCTAGGACACAACTTCGTAGTAATCCATCGCGTTAGACTGTCACAACATTTACCTTTGATGGTCTCAAAGGACGTGGATTCTCTGTGACTGCATGTGTGTCACCCTGAAGAAAAAGGAGAGTCTTAGGGTCTCAGGATGTGCTTTTAGTAACCAAATTGGAAAGAAGTCCTAGGGAAGGGGCTGCTCAGAAGTAGCTATTTACCAAGTGATATGGAAGTGTTTTAACAAGCAGTAAGTGCACACTGGTGGGTGACAGGTGAGTGAAAACCCTGGCCTTCTAGCACTCAGATGGCTTTGCATCTAGGGTTCTAGATACAATTTAGATTCTACCGGTGGGAGGCTTCACAGACCCGAGTGTCCATAGCAACTCCCCCATCCCCATCACTGTCTAGTTACCAGCCTTGTAGGGTTTCTGATTTTGAGTCTATGTGTTAATGTGTATTTGGAGCCTAGTGAATCTAAGTTCAAATAGTACTATGTATCAACTCCTTTCGAGCAGTTCTGTTCTCTAGTTTGTTAAGTTGTAAAATGAGAGGTAAATGGATTGTTTAAAATATCCTTGCTTTTCTTTTCCAGTATTACCAAAATTTGAAGTCACTTTACAGACACCATTATACTGTTCTTTAAATTCTGTGAGTTTAAATGGTACCGTCACAGCAAAGTAAGTATCATATTGCTTTCTGTGACTATAAACTGTTCTGAAACTGTATGACAAAGAGCTCATTATATACTCCAGAACATTAGCACAATATGTTGCTTATTAAAATACCCCAATGGGCAGGAAACAAATGTTTATAGTAAATAATTAAGCACAGAACATATCTGCACAGGTCTTTGCACCCATGTCTCTGCTTCCAAGCTGATCCAGTCCTAAAATATTCCCCAATAGGCTACTGTCTTTCTAACACTAGTCAAGGGATTTACCTGACAGATTGTGCCAGATTGAAAAAAAGCTTTATCTTTATTTAGTCCTCATTCAGCTGTCTATAATGGAGGTTGAGACTCGGGGGAGGGCTTTGGTTGCCTTATTGCAATTCACAGATGAGTCAGTGATCCACATTCATCATCCATTTCAGCACTTGGACACAGGGACTTCCAGCCCCGCCCCATGTAACTGCTGTCTAGTGGCTTTCATGACTTTGATCCAATGGCTCGAACATCACAGCATTTTGTTTTGCTGAGGCAAAAAGCGTCTTCAGAGTTCCAGATCACTGGCTCTCAAACGTATAGGCTGGGATTGCCCTCAAGTAATTCCAGGACCGATTTCTTGTAGCATTTTAAATTAAAAAAAAAATTTTTTGTCCGTCCCCATCCCCTGGGGTTTGCGAGGACTTGGATGCGGTGACACCTGTGACGCACGTCCCTCCTTGGCCGGGACCTGTCAGTGGGTTGGAGTTGGCCTGGGTGACTAGGCCTCCTCAGGAGAGCAGCCTGTGGGCTGGGTGCCGACCTAATCCTCTAAGGGGCCAGGACCTGGTGGAGCATCGCGGTGCCCTTTCCCTGCTCAGCTGTCCCTCCTTGGTGTCACTTGCACCTCTTCCAACCAGAGACGGTCTTGCTGTGGGCCCCAGTAAACCTCAGCACACTCCCCGTGACCTCCGCAGCCCTGATGGAGAGGTGCTTGCCTTTCCCTCCCCAGGATGGGTGTGCTTTATAGCATTTATTTTTTAAAATTTATAATTATTTTTTATTTTTTGCGGTACGCGCGCCTCTCACTGTCGTGGCCTCTCCCGTTGCGGAGCACAGGCTCCGGACGCGCAGGCTCAGTGGCCATGGCTCACGGGCCCAGCCGCTCCGCGGCATGTGGGATCTTCCCGGGCCGGGGCACGAACCCGCGTCCCCTGCATCGGCAGGCAGACTCAACCACTGCGCCACCAGGGAAGCCCTGAAATCTTTAACTGAGATGAATAAAAATCTGCATTTGTTTATTAGCTTTGATGTGAACATCTGCTCACTATTCCCACCTCATTAAAATAAATAGTAGATTCTTTCCCCTCATCATAATAGGTTTTAGAGGAATGTAAAGAAAATAACATGGCATACATCATAACTTTTGTGGACAGTAGAATTTTTAAAATATTATTTTTATAATCTAAGGCTTATTAAAATGTAGTTACTATTTGATGAATTGAGAGATCTGCATCCTGGAAATGACATGGAATAAAATGGTGGGGAGAAACATGAATTATAATGATAGGTTCACTTTTTTTAGGTATCATTTTGTAAACCTATTGTGCTGTGGTTTTCTGAAAAAAAAAAATCCTTGTTTTGTTAACGATACAATCATAGAATATCTTTGATTTGCTTTTGAAAAAGTTGTTGAGCTATTATTTTCCGAATGATTAGTTTATCACAGAAGCTTCCAGATTCTATTTAGGACAATAACTGTCAGTATCCTTGCTTCATGATTATTATAAATAAATCAGCTTGGGGCTTGCAAAGCTAAGTCCACTTCACTTTTAAATCAAAATTAAAAATATTTGTGTCTGAGAATACTTTAAATAATGTTTGAATTCTCAAGCTCCCTGTGCTATCGGGTGATGTAAATTTTAAAATATGATGTTCTGGTGTTCTAGTTATGCATTTATTTAATCTTTAGCAAGATACAAGCAGTGTTAGGTTTTTTCTTTTTTTGTGTGTGGTATGCGGGCCTCTCACTGTCGTGGCCTCTCCCGTTGTGGAGCACAGGCTCCGGACGCGCAGGCTCAACGGCCATGGCTCACGGGCCCACCCACTCCGCGGCATGCAGGATCCTCCCGGACCGGGGCACGAACCCGTGTCCCCTGCATCGGCAGGTGGACTCTCAACCACTGCGCCACCAGGGAAGCCCCAGTGTTAGGTTTTGAGGACTCTTTTGATTGAATGAATTTGATGCTGACGTTGCTAACCGGGGGTTTCCACTAACTTTACTATTTTTGTTTGGGAGGGTGGTGCATTTGAAGATGGACTGTTTTATTCTCTTTAATTTGGAATATGCTGTATTTTATCATTGGTTTTTGAGTTGAGTTGATCCAGACGAGGGGCTGTTTTTTGTGTTCAGCTGAGGGATTCAATGGAAGGAGGAGTTTACTGTCAGATTTATAGAGCACAAAGCAAAATTAACTTCCATGTTTGCTTGAGCATTTCACAATAGAGATGGAAGGGACCCAGGAAACGCATTTAAAAAAGGCTTTCTGGCAGTAAAATGGTTTACCGAAGATTGTCTCTCCTTTACACGAAGAGACTATCCCATCATGAGAGGGGATACAATTAATACATAGAATGCAAGTCCGCAGAGAGAGATTTGATTCAGGAATAGAATTTCGGTGCTATGGATAAGCAAATTACTCTTATTTTAAATTTTCTTTCAAAAAGCGAATTTTTAATAGCCATGAGCACATTTGGTGCCCTGGCATGTTTGGTCTAATGAACCCTAATGGTTAGTATTGGAACGTGCAGCAATGGGCCACGGCGAATGCAATTTCAACTAACATTTTAAAATATTCAAAAGCTACAAAGTCTCCTGGGCATGCGGTTAATGGGCCAGTCCAGATGTCTAAGAATAAAAGATTTTCATAATCTTTTAAAAATCTTTTGACGGGAAACTGTCACTTCCAATTATGATCAGATTTTCTCTGGAGTCTCCAGAGGCTGGGTAAAGTGTGTATTATGAACTGTTTTTGAGGTACTGTAGTTAAAAGTCTTCTCATTTTGGAGACTTAATATCAAGGATCACCATTTATTAGGCACATTCCTAACTATGTTTTAGTTTCAGAAATTTGTAGTAAGAGTATGTTTTTAATATAATTCTTTTAAGTTAGGCCTCGTGTATTATTTTTCAGGTATACATATGGGAAGCCAGTGAAAGGAGACCTAACACTTACATTTTTACCTTTATCCTTTTGGGGTGTGAAGAAAAATATTACAAAAACATTTAAGGTAACTTTTGCAGATATCTTATAACTTGGAATGGGGAAAAACTGTAAGTGTACTTTCTCTAGAAATAAGATTTTATACTGAATTAACCAAAAGTTGAGCATAAGAAAATCAAGAGCTTTCTATCATTGAACAAATGAGAATTTACCCTTTTTAAAAAAAATGATTGAAGTGGAAACAGAACCATTGTATTGTTGTGACCTAGTTTGGGTTTTATTTCTAAAATTTGAAGTGCTAAAGTGAAGAATGACATTGAAAAATTTTTAACAAAACAGATAAATGGATCTGCAAACTTCTCTTTTAACGATGAAGAGATGAAAAAGGTAATGGATTTTTCGGATGGCCTTTCTGAACACATGAATCTGTCTTCTCCTGGGCCGGTAGAAATTTTAGCCACAGTGACAGAATCACTTACAGGTTTGTAGACTTTGAAGTGAAGGTAAAGCTATTTCTGTTGTGCTGCTCTGTCATCTCTTATTATAATTGGTACGTTCATTTGAGGGCACTGTTGCCTAAGGATGCTAGTTAATGCTGAGATTGTCATGACTATTAGTCTAACTTGAAGAATGTTTTCATAATGAAGGGGAAACATTTTCTTTGAAAGGATGTACTTCAACCACCTGTGATAGGTATTTATAATCTTTTCCATCTCTGTTTTTTTTTTTTTTCAAACTGAAAACTACATGGAAGGGCTACCTTTTCAGTTGACTAACCATCCTCCTTTTTTTTTTTTTTTTTTTTTTTAAATAACATCTTCTGAAATCTCACCTGCTCCTAGACAGTTTTCTCTTTTAATAATAAAATAAAGGTTAATTACTTGGATCTTTTAGTTGCTATTGTTTAATGGCTTTTACCAATCCCCAAAAGTGCAAAAAGATTATCCTGTCAGTGGCCTGATCTCTGGTGCACATGTCATTGATTGGGGGACGCTAATGGTGCTCAGAAGGGATCCACAGAGGACATGTATGGTCCTCTTTGTGGCCAAGCCAAAGAGGCTTCTGTGTCCTGATATCCTAACCCCTTTGGGAAGTAGCTCAGATGGAGAGTTTTGGTGGATAGAAGCTGTTGGTAATATATTACTTTTACTTTCTAAATGGTGCAATTTCCAAAACAGGTATCTCAAGAAATGCAAGCGCCAATGTATTTTTCAAGCAACACGATTACATCATTGAATTTTTTGATTATGCGACTGTCTTAAAGCCATCTCTCAACTTCACAGCCACTGTAAGTTGGCATATTTATTAATTGTCTAAAGCAGTAAGTTCAATTTAGTGAAACAGAATGGGAAATAGTACTTTCAATGCTTTTCAAAAAATTTAAGCCCAAGGTCAGTAGATTACTTTTCCTCTTTAGATATATGAGGCACACAGAATTGTTTCCCAAGGACCTTTATCTAATTTATTTAAAAAAGTAGTTTCCAAAAAATTTTTCCTCACGATATATTTAATAAGTAATTCAAGTTAGATTTGAATTGCAACATTGAAGTTTTTATAAATTAATTGAAGGAATTAGATGGTAGTCAAAAAATTTCAATTTGATTTTTATAATGACTGATTTTAGTCCTAGCAAAGATGTAGCATTAAAAAGTATCAACTAATCTACTCAATTTTTTGAGAGAATACTGAATAACATTTATTGACTGAGTCAATAAATGGGGCTTACAGATCTAAGAAGGACCCAGTCTCTGCCCTGGAGTCACAGTGTTTGTGATGGTGACAAGAAAATATACACGTAACTGTAATTCAAGGCAGGATAAATCAGTGTCATGAACACATTTCTGTAGGGATTTAAAACAGGTGTTGGCAAACTTTGTCTGCAAAGGGCTAGATAGTATATACCTTTAGCTTTGAGGGCCATATGGTCTCAGTCACAACTGTGTGACTCTGACATTGTAGCATGAAAGCGGCCACAGCCCCTTGGTAACCAAGCGAGGGTGGTCACGTTCCAATAAAATCTTCCTTCCAAAGAGACTGGATTTGGCCTCCCTGCCTGTCATAGTCTTCTGGCCCCTGCTTTAAAGAAAGGAGGGTCACTTTTCGTTGAATAGATCAAGAGAAGTTTTAGAGTTTCTAGGTTGGTGGCTATGTGGAGATTTGGGGGGCAGGGATGCGCTCAGAGAGGGTCCTGTCCTGGTACCTCGCCCTAAACATCCCTTCCATCTCGCTCAATATCTTTTTATAATAAACCAGTGATCTAGTGAGAAAAAAAAGTTTTAGATAGCTTCTGATTTTAATAATCTTATCATTTAGACAGTTTGAAAAGGTAGTTAAGAAAACCCCCAGGAATCTGCAAATGGTAACTTGCAAATGAATAGAGGGAAACAAAGAGAGTTCTAGGAGGAGGAACTGGCTGTAGGACAGGGATGGGGGTCACCCAGGGATGCTTTATGGAGAAGCAGAAGATTTAGGCTATTTGTTACAAGATCTGCAGCATTTTCAGTGTTTGGATGTGTGGGTGGGGAATGAGATGAGCTGAGACGTCTACACAAGGCGAGAGCTTTGGTTGGCAAGCCAGGGTGCCTTCAGGTGACAGTGACTGGACCGGGGCAGTGACAGCAGAGAGCTCGTGTCCAGGAGAGGTCAGAGAGGAAGCAGGAGGCGAAGCTTGGGGATTGCGGAGGGTCCTCCGTGTCTCACATGCTCTAAGCAGTGAAGATCTTGGTGCCTTATGAACGTGGGAGGGGTGTGGCGAAAGCAGCGTTCCAGGGGGACTGATGGGGTCTGTGTGCAGGAGGGGGGCAGCAGCCCGGGCACGAGGCCAGCAGGAGGCTTGTGCTGCTGACTCTGGGTGGAGAGCATGTAAGAGATGTAAGACTTGGTGTGCATTGGAATTGGAAGGTGGGGAGAGGGAAGGGAAATTCAGAGATGTTAAGTCTGACGGAATTGTGGGATTAGCAAAAATAGGAAAAGCGAGATGGTTTCTCACCTTTAGATTTACTGAATTTGAGATGACAGGGATGTACAAGTAGAAATTTCCTGCAGGGGGTTGGAGGTGTTGAGTATGAGCTCCAGAGCCAGGTAAGGATGGCAGCAGGAGTGCTGAGACCTTTGAGGGTAAATGATAATGAGGCTTTGACAAATTCCCACATTTAGGGAGAGGGAAGGGGGATAAAAAAGGACACTGAGAGGATGTAGGAAGAGGGGTATGCAGTGAAAGAGGTTATTGTGGAGCCGTGGAAGGCAACAGGAGCCATAACAGCCAGACGGGAGGGGAGGTCGCCCAGAGAGACCACTGAACCTGGAAGTTAGGGGGCTGCCGAGGATTCTTGAGAGTTCAGTTTCATGGGAACAGCACAGATGGAAGCTGGATTCAACTAAACTTGAATCCTTTGCTTCTCTTGTTTACCTGATTTCAAAATGTTTTCTTTTGACAATTAGGTGAAGGTAACCCGTTCTGATGGCAATCAACTGACTCCTGAAGAAAGAAGAAATAACATAGTCATAATGGTGACGCAGAGAAACTATACCGAGTACTGGAACAGATGGGATGGTAGAAATCAGGAAATAGCGGCTGTCCAGATCGTAAATCATACTGTCCCCCCAAATGGAATCTTCAAGATTGAATTCCCAATCCTGGACGATTCCAGCGAGCTACAGTTGAAGGTGCCATCTGTTTCCCATCATTATGTTACTGTAGCAAACTTAAACTTGTCATCCTGTGGTAGGCACTCAACCTGTTGGGAGGTCACTTTGGTACACAGGAAGCGGACACATTTTTATTTTAAAAGAATGGGGGAAAGGGTTAAAAAGTGATTTAATGACAGCAGCTGAGAATTAGACTGAATGCTTCCTTGTAAATTCATTTTGAAGAGCAAAGTAAAATAGTGATCTGAAGATATGATGGAGAAGCCCCCAAACTCCCAGTCTAGGTGATTTTCAATCATTTGAAATGGTGTTTTGGCAGGAGCTGAGATCAAAGGGGAATATGTTTTTTACATTTACACTCCTTTGCTGGACTGAGGCCCCCAGCCGTTCCCTCTCCCTTTCTCGTGGTCACTCAGCCCTGTCAGTGTGACCTCTGAGTTTTTCTCTCACCAGTGGTAGATTGAATGAGCTGATATGATTTCTTGCTTATAGTTGAGTTCTGTATTGTGGGGAGAGGAAGGGATTCCTTTTCCATTTCCTTCTTTCTTCTCACAGTGTTTCCTGATAATACACCTTTGTTTTGGAAATAAGTTAGGACCGTCCGTACTTTTTTCCTCTTTGATTATGACGATGAAGACCATTTTACACGTTTACAGCTGTCACTTTCTTTATAGTATAAGCTGTAAAATGATGAAGACCCAATGTCTGGGGAATGTATTGTTTCCTGCGTGAAGAAAAGTGAAAGTGAATTTGACTTTCACTGATTGTCCAGCAGGTAACATCCTTTATCAAGGTGTTTCTAAAGATGAAACTTTACGGTTGCCTTTTCTTTTGTTATAGGCCTCTTTTCTTGATACTGTGAGTAGCATGGCTGTTCATGATATGTTTAAGTCTCCTAGTAAAACGTACATCCAGCTAAAAACAAGAGATGAAAATATAAAGGTAATGATTACAATCACTTGTTAATTATAATTGGGCTGTCTTGCCACTGATATGTATATATTAATTAAAATATTTTTTTTCTAGGTGGGATCACCTTTTGAGTTGGTGCTTAGTGGCAACAAGCAGTTGAAGGAGTTTAGCTATATGGTAATCTCTTACAGAATCTAAATTTATGATCTATTGTGGAATCGTCTGAAATAATGTCTACCTTAATTTTAAACTGAACTTACTGATTTTTAAAATTCAGCCTCACACTTAAAAGAAACTATTATATTTTAATGTATTGTATGTTATACATGCACAATATGTAATATTGGGTGTGGGCTTTCTCTAGTTGCAGCGAGCAAGGGCTACACTTCGTTGCGGTGCACGGGCTTCAGTACTTGTGGCACGCCAGCTCAGTAGTTGTGGCACCTGGGGTTAGTTGCTCTGTGGCATGTGGGATCTTCCAGGACCAGGGCTTGAAACCGTGTTCCCTGGATTGGCAGGTGGATTCTTAACCACTGCGCCACCAGGGAAGCCCCTCTTACAGAGTATTTTATGTCTAAGTTGTATATAAATTTACTTTGCAAAATTTTACATTTTGTTCCTTTACCACAATGAATTATTATAAGATATTGAATATAGTTCCCTGTGCTATATAGTAGGACATTGTTGTTTATCCATCATATATATATATATATATATATATATATGTAGTTTGCATCTGCTAATCCCAATTCATCCCCCCTCTACCTTCCCCACTGACAGCCACAAGTCTCTTCTCTGTGTCTGTGAGTCTGTTTCTGTTTTGTAGATATGTTCATTTGTGTAGTATTTTAGATTCCACGCGTAAATGATATCATATGGTATTTGAATTTCTCTTTCTGACTTACTTCACTTAGTATATTATCGTACTAGGTTCATCCATGTTGCTACAAATCAGCCTCACACCTTTTTAAGCTGTCCTTTTTATATTGAAATCAAACTCTTTTTTTCTTTCTTCACCCATATTTGCATTTCCAGTTTAAGATGAATAATGAAATCTTGCATTATGTTTAAAATTTAAAATTCTATGAGATAAGCCACATATGTTCATTATAGAAAATTATAAAACACAAGGAAAACAAAAACAAATAAAAATGCTCCCCATAAATTGTAGTTTTGCTCATCTAGCTCTCTCAGTGGTGCTCTGCATCCCTTCCACTCAGAAATAGATTCTTGACCGTCAAGCTGCTGTTGGCTCAATTATGGTTGCTTTAGCTTATCCTTTTCTAATTACTAGCGTGTACTCTCTGTGTTGGTCAGGGAGGTTTATTTTTGTGTGTGTGTTCAAAAAGGATTTGAAGTTGCTTTAAGTCAAGAATTTGTATGTATGCTTAAAATTATGATAAACATAGCTGCCATTGAGATTCTCACTAGCTTTAGCATATAATAAAACTCATGTACTCTTCTTTTCAGGTGGTGTCCAGGGGACAGTTAGTGGCTGTAGGCAAGCAAAATTCAACAACTTTTTCCTTAACACCAGAAAATTCTTGGGCTCCAAAAGCCTGTATTATTGTGTATTATATTGAAGATGATGGGGAAATTATAAATGATGTTCTGAAAGTTCCTGTTCAGCTCGTTTTTAAAAATAAGGTAAGGTTTAAGGTAATGATGTTTAAAAGAAAACTTCATATTAGTAAAGTCTGAGAAATGTAATATTTCTTTAGAAAAGTGTCATGAAACCAAATTGGTTAGAAATTTATATCCATTTCTAGAACTACAGATAAACCTCTTCATATTTAATTACTGTGTATCTGTTTTCACCTTTGGAATTATTGTACACTGTGCGTCTTCTTTGTAAGTCATGGTTCTTGGCTTTAAGACTTTAGTTCAAATCCAGGCTCTTTCAGGATTTCCCAAATGGTGGAGTCAATATTGCTCTGGCATGGAATTCCAATGGCAATATATGTGTGGTGTTGCTATTTGTGTGGGAGTGAAGTGAGGGGTGTAGGAGGGAGTGAGGCATCTGCAGTGATGTGTGGAAGGAGAGCTGGGCTTTGGTTTATCCATTTCATCAGTCTGGAAAATAACCCAGGACGAATTTACAATGAGCTTGGCTGCTTTGCATGTGGAGATCTCTGTGGAGTTTTGTCTCCACACATAGCAGTGATTTTTATAACCTACGGTGTGTAGCTTGTGTAGGAAACACTCCTGGGCCCCAACTCTGAGAAGTAACCAGATTGCAAGATTGACAGGTGGAGTTCAATTATCTCATACATATTAAAATGAGCCATTGTTCTCACTAAAGGCTGCTGCCATCTCAGGACCTCTGAAGCAAAATAATCATTATTATTATTACTATTATTTTTAATATTTATTTGGTTGCGCCGGGTCTTAGTTGTGGCAGGTGGGCTCCTTGGTTGCAGCTCCAGGGCTCGTTAGTTGTGGCTCACTGGCTTCTTAGTTGCAGCACATGGGCTCTTTAGTTGTGGCATGCAAACTCTTAGTTGCAGCATGCATGTGGGATCTAGTTCCCTGACCAGGGATCGAACCCGGGCCCCCTGCCTTGGGAGCGCAGAGTCTTATCCACTGCACCACCAGGGAAGTGTGACGAAAGAAACGGAAGAACAGCTTCAGGGCTAACAGTACATTTTGACTTCTGTAAGAGACTTGCTTTGCTTACTTGCTTGGGGCAGGAAGAACCGGGTTCCTGACTGGCTGATTCAAAATTAAACAGCTCCCTCCCTCCCTGGGAACTTCCCGTCCTGTGAAGGGTATAAAAGCCTCGCCCGACTGTTAGTCGGGGTCTCACTCGCTTCTCTCCGAGTGGGACCCTGTCCGGACAGTTTGTGTAAGCTTCTATACTTGTACTTGTATAAATCCTTTGCTAATCTTTCTGCTTGGTGTTGGTGATTCTCGGGTGTCCTTGGTTGGGACACGGGTCGCATTTACCGGGGAACTTGACTCCAGGCGTGTGGGTCCCGGACCGTAACAGAAGTCCCCAATAATCATTATTTTAAAGTAGTGATTTGCAGAGTACAGTTCTTCTGGTAGCATTTTCCCCCTGAATTTGTTAAAATTTTAAGAAGTAGCAGTTGTCATCCATGCCTTTTTTATAGAGAACTGTTAACTCTAACTTTGACTGTCAAAATATAATACAAACTTCTATTTTCTGTCTTATGAAAAGAATTTTTTAAAAAACAGTGCTGTATTCTGTCAGTTTCAGAGCACAATTTTTGACTTTTTGATTTTTGACTCCATTAGTCCCCTGAGGAAGGTGAATTTTAAAGTAGGAGTAAAGCTTAAACATGGAGGCACACATCTCTGAAAGTGAGAGCAGGTTCTAAAAAAAGTTGCTGTGTAAAAGGCTTTGAGGAAGCAGACTGTATAAATAACTTCCAAGAAATTTCTTAGATATGAGAGATAAGAAATTAGTTTCAGTTGTGTTTGCAAAGATAAGTCTTCCATTTTTATTTGATAATGTTTACCACATTTACTCTGAAAGAAACTGCATATTTGGAAATAAAATATGTTTCAACACAAGCACATTAATGAATCTTTGTTGATGTTCAGTAATGACTGTGGAATAAATGAATGAGATGTGGAAGGGGCAAGAGATCATCCGCACAGAAGTGCAGGTTGGAGCCATGGGGTCACTGACGTGCAGAACAAAGAATGAGAAGTGCAAAGTTTGCATGTGATGCAAACTGTGAGTTACCTTAAACAAGGGGTAAGGAAAGGTATTCTTTCTGTTTCACTTGTTTAAGGTATAAGTGGGGAAGAGTAAACTAGATACAATGGCTCGAGAGGTAGGTGAAAGAAAGATGGCATTGGACAAGTGAAACAGGCAAGGAAGACTTTGTTCAAGACATTTGCAGTAGGGGAGAGAGACTGAACTCAACTCCACTGAAACAAAAGGCAGGAGGGTTTTTAAGCACTGGTGTGAGTTAATGGAAAAGTACTGGAAGACCATGGGGGAGGGGTTGGTCAGCGTGATGAGGCCGTCTGTGTTTGGTAACTGGAGTTTATAAGTTAGGCTTCTGTTCATCTACAGAGACTGGGAGATCAATCAGGGCTCTTTCTTGATGATTACACTTCAGAAGGATGGCTCCCAGGTCTTTGAGAGAGACATTCCTGC